TGGTACGGCCGAGAGTGGGGTGAGTCCGCTCTCCCTCTCGAAATACTCTCACACGGCCGCGCGTATACAGCCTCTGCCAGGGAAGTCCTACTCATTGCCTTCTCGTGGCGGGGGTGTTGTTTACGAAAATGAGAGGACGAAAAGCGAATGTCCGGCGCTTTAACCGGATTCCAAACCAATGGTGCACATGGGCTCTAGTATCCTGCGGGAACAAATGGCGTATGGACCAATCTTTGGTCACCGGCTACCATGGGATTGCATCTCCTTACGATGCTCCACTGCCTTGTGGGTTAGACCTTTAGGTCAAAGGCTCGGGGAGTGGCCCCCTAAGAAAACCACCTGCTTCGGTTTGGGCACCCGGGGAGTATCACAGCCCACACACAAACGATGAACTCTATGTCTTTGGCAACTACTTTTATCGCTCCGAAAAACAATCAGTCGATTCAAATAATTATCATTACTATTATTGTCATTATTAATACTATTATTATTACTATTATTGTCGTTATTATTATTATTATTATTATTATTATTATTATTATTATTATTATTATTATTATTATTATTATTTCCCACATTATTCACCCTCTTTTATACTTATACAGCGGCTCGTCTTTGGTGGAAATCCGACTGTATCTAAACGTTCTCGAGTCACTGTCCGGTTGAAAGTTGTATGTTACCATCGAATATGAGTACTGAAGCAGTTTTTCTGAAACCACGTGCGCCATTCAAACTGGCTGCCTTCAACGTTCGCACACTTATGCAGGTTGGTCAACAGATAGGGCTGGCTATGTCTTTGGAAAGTCTTAATATTGATGTTTGTTGTCTATCCGAGACCCGTATTCAAGACTCTAGCGAAGTACTACAAATTCGCTCTACATCTGTCACTTCAAAAAGCTTGTTTTACGTGCGCTTATCCGGGGACCCTGTGGCATCTTCGTCTGGTCTTGCAGGCGTTGGTGTCGCACTAAGCGCTAGAGCTGAGGTAACACTAGTCGATTGGATTCCCATTAACAGTCGGTTATGTGCTGTTAGATTAGAAAGTTCCATCAAAGTGAGGAGAAATCGGCGTGAGAAACGATGTCTTTTCGTCATCTCCACCTATGCCCTGACAGATTGCAGCCCGGATGCAATCAAGGATGAGTTTTACCACCAGTTATCTGTTCTTCTACTGAAAGTGCGTTCGACAGATATTGTAGTACTAGCCGGAGACTTGAATGCTCAGGTTGGGCGTCTAGGCACAGAAGAGAGTCGTTTAGGTGGCCGATGGGGACTCGTTGGTCGCAGGTCAGATAACGGGGACCGTCTACTGCAACTGTGCACAGACCACAACCTGTTTCTGGCTAGCACTAACTTTCGGCACAGTCATCGCCGATGTGCCACCTGGCGTCCTCCCTCTGCATCTCAAGCCTGGACTCAGATTGATCACATCGCGATCAGCTACCGCTGGCGTGGTTGTGTACAAGACTACCGCTCCTTTTGGAGTACCTATCTGGACTCTGACCATGCCTTGGTCTGCGCCAATCTTGCCTTACTTTTCAGTGGCCAACGAAGTGATCGCCACCAAAAGATTGATGTTAGCAAGCTGGTTGCAACTTCTGTTGCAAGTAAGTATCGAACCGAGCTAGCCTCTAGGCTAGCTACCACTCCACCGAAAAGTATAGATGAGCATTGGTTGCAATTGCATGACGCCATGAAAATGGCGGGAACAGTCAGTTGTGGGTTTGCGAAACGTCCCGCTTTTAAGCACTGGGTTTCTTCTGGTTCCTTACAACTCATTGAAGCCCGTCGGTCTACTCCGGGTGACCGTGAGTTTGACCATAAACGAAGGATGTTATGTAAGGAAATTGGGCAAATCTTGCGTAAGGACCGAGAAGCCTGGTGGTCGAAGCGTGCTAATGAGCTGGAAGCAGCAGCTGCATCTGGTAATTACCGGAAGCTCTTCCAGCTCATCCGAGCCACTGGCAGCAAGAAGTCTGATGTGAGTGAAACAATCTGCGAGGATGATGGGATGCCAATCACTAACATCCATCGACGTCTTGGACGGTGGGCAGAATTTTTCGAAGGGCAGTTCAACTGGCCTTCTGCTCTGGCAACATCGGTCAGACTGTCCTGCCCTCCATGGCCGGTGACGACTGATCCACCAAACGAGGAGGAAGTCCGCAAGGAACTCCAACTCTTGAAGCGTTACAAATCACCTGGTCCAGATGACTTACCTCCGGCTCTTTTTAAAGATGGTGGTGACTTTTTGACTAAGGAATTGACGACGTTGTTTACAAAGGTTTGGGAACTTGAGAGTGTGCCAACGTCATGGAATGAGTCGATAGTTGTCCCTATCTTTAAAAAGGGTTCACGTCGTTCCTGTAACAACTATGGGGGATAAGTGTACTTCCGATTGCGTCCGAGCTATTGGCTTCCGTCATACTTCGTAGGTTGTTCAAAACCCGAGAAAGATTGACTCGCGAGGAGCAGGCTGGGTTTCGTTCTGGTCGAGGATGTATTGATCATATCTTCACCCTCCGCCAAATGTTAGAACACCGTCATACTTATCAAAGGCCAACAATCGTAGTGTTTCTTGACATCAGGGCTGCCTTCGATTCGTTGGATAGGACTGTTCTCTGGGATTGTCTATTGAAGAAGGGTGTGCCTGAGAAGTTTATTAACATCCTAAAAGCCCTATATAAAAACATCTCAGGCAGAGTGAGGGCATACAACCACCTTTCTCCATTGTTCCATTCGAGTAGTGGGGTTAGGCAGGGTTGCCCAATCTCACCATTCCTCTTCAACTTTGCCATTAATGACATTCTGGAAACAGCTCTGATGAATGTAAGTAATGGTGGTGTGGATCTGTTGCCTGGAGAAACACTTCTCGACCTTGAGTATGTGGATCATATTATGTTACTGTGAGATAATGCCCAAGGCATGCAATCCACACTTAATCAGTTGGCAATCAGTGTCCGTAGGTATGGTATGTGCTTTGCACCTTCGAAGTGCAAAGTACTTCTACAAGACTAGCAGGATTCTAATCCCGTACTCACCCTGGATGGTGAGCAGATAGAAGTAGTCGAGAAGTTCGTGTGTCTAGGTAGCTGCATAAGTGCTGGTGGTGGCGTGAGTGATGAGATCAATACACGTATAGTGAAAGCCAGAGCGGCTTATGCCAATCTGGGCCACCTTTGGCGCCTTCGTGATGTTAGTCTGACTGTAAAAGGTCGGATCTACAACGCGTCGGTGTGAGAGCAGTTTCGCTCTATGCTTGTGAAACATGGTCTCTCCGAGTTGAGGACGTTAGACGACTCTCTGTGTTTGATCATCGTTGTCTCCGAAGGATTGTTGACATTCAGTGGCAACACCATGTTAGTAATGCAGAGGTTCGGCATCGTATGTTCGGGCACAGAGACGATAATTCAATTGGTGTCACCATCTTGAAACACCGACTTCGGTGGCTTGGACATGTTTTCCGAATGTCGTCCCAGAGAATTCAACGTAGTGCATTACTTGACAACTCCGGGACTGGTTGGAAAAGCGGAGAGGTGGTCAGCGTATGATTTGGTGTCGTGGCATGAAAGAAAGCTACAAAGGGCTTGCTTCTGTTGGTCCTTCAGGACTCTCTAGCTGGGGTCTGAGAGATGGTGCTACACAGTGACTAGAGACGTTATCAGATATGGCTCAGAATAGAAGCCAGTGGCGATCCTGCTGTAACCTTCTTTTACTTTCTTCATAAAAAAAGTGGTTGTATCTTCCTTAACTGAAAGAGTTCTTCTGGTTGTACCTTTCCGTTTCCCTCATTATTATTATTATTATTATTATTATTATTATTATTATTATTATATCATTACACTACCTTACATTAATCTGTCGTTATTATTCTTTTTTTCTTTTGTTCCTTATACGCACCTTACCTTCTTTTTTCTCTTCCCGTTCTCATTGTTTTGTGTGTCGCATATGTATTTGCTGCCTCCCTTGTACCAATATTTATATGTTCAAATAAATAAATAAAACTAGAGTGAAAAAAGTGTAGATGTACGTGTTAGTGATATTGGAAAACACACAAATCCAAATTGTAGGTTGACTAGCAATGAAGATATCTTGTTAACTATGGAAGATTTGAAAATCATGATTCCACGATAATGTTGTCCTTGAAAAACTTTGAAGATTTGGCAGTGAACCGATAACAAAATTAGTTGGGAAGGTTCATTGAATAGGAATAGTGCAAACTTAGTAGTGTATCTAATTTTAGGCCCCGTGTGGTGCGGGGTCGTGGATGCGCACTGCTGAGGAGTCCCATACTAGGACGAAACGGCCGTCCAGTGCTTCCAGGTTTTCAATGGTGGTCTAGCTTCAATTGACTCATGATTTCAATCTGTGAAATTTCTAAAATCTCCACAAAACCCATTCTGATAATAATAATCAACTGCTCACTAGTGACTGACTTCAAGAAAAACTCCCGAAGTTCTAGTGAGAAGCCGTTACCAGTGGAGTTCAACCAGGTCTGTTGTGAGATAGGAACTCACTGAAGACAATGGTGTACGGTGGCGCAACTTCTTGGATTGGTTGGAGTTAGACATTAACACCGTTGGATGCCGGCTCAGTGGTCTAATGGTTAAGTGCTCGCGCGCGAAACCAGTAGGTTCTGGGTCCGAGCCCCGTGTGGTGCGGGGTCGTGGATGCGCACTGCTGAGGAGTCCCATACCAGGACGAAACGGCCGTCCAGTGCTTCCAGGTTTTCAATGGTGGTCTAGCTTCAATTGACTCATGATTTCAATCTGTGAAATAATTTAAACGCTGAATTGAGATATCATTTAAAAATATTTTTAGAGAAACTATGAACTTAGTTAACAAAAACAGACCTAAATACTCCGCTTTGAGCCAGTAATACTACGAGAAATGCTCAAACTGAAGCCAGTTTCATATCTGCAACCTAATGGGTGATACCCGAGTGCACTTTCATCATAACTCATAATAAATAAATAAATAAGTGAATATTACTGGACACTTACATTCTTGATCCGCCATTATTATCTGAACAATTATCATTGTTAAAGACATCCGAAAAGACAGGTTTAATTTGTATACCTAAATTTTCACCACGTTTAGTATTTATCAGACGAATTGTCACTACTGAGTCTTTACTATTTATTGATTCCTGAGATTTATTCACTGAAGGTGATTCAATGATATTCAAAGATATTTTTTCAGGTACTTCATTAATTGGTTGATGATCATTGAAATCTGATTGATTTAATGATGCAGATGATGAAAGATGTGATAAACCAGATTTACTTATAACTTGACAATTATTACTCATAGCAGCATCACGAGTATTTTCAAGCCAACGAATTACATCCGGTTTAGGTAGACCACGAATAGAATGGGTATTTGTTATTAATGGATTATCATTTGAATGAAATTGAAGATTAGACAAGTGTAATTCATTTGAACTAGGATTACATTTATCATTATTAATTGTGTTCACATGTAGTACACCGCATTTTTGGACAGATGTTTGATCTTTTCTGTAAATTATCAAATTATGGGGTGGAAAGAATAAAGAAACTAAGAAATAAACTAGAATTTAGATTTACAAACATTTAGATTTGGTTATGTCTATTTCAATAATAATAATAATAATAATAATAATAATAATAATAATAATAATAATAATAACAATAATAATAATAATAGTAATAATAATAATAAATACCTCGTGATTAACCGAATTCAAGAGAGTAGACGATATAGGGTTTCAAAAAACAGAAACGTGATTAAAATAAGTGAATCGAGAGGAGAATGAGAACGTCATTCCTATCTAAGATTGTCAAACTATATCACAATGAAATGAAGTAGGAAAATACTGATGATAAGCACACGCACACACACACTAGTACTAAAACATTAGAGACAGAGATGAGTAGACAAAAGCAGAAACAATAACAATAGAAATGTACTTGTTTATCGATTCAAGCTGCAACATTTGAATTTAGCACAAAGAAAAGTGAAAGCATGATGAAATTTCAAGAAACAAATCAGTAACTGTCATCATGATGTGGAGTACTGAATATTATTTCAATGTAGTGGTCACTATTTGGAAAGTTTGATAATCGAAATACCTAGTTTATTGACGAAACAATCTATCAGACTTTTATACACATACAATTTGGTTAGAAACTAACTTGAAATCTAGCGCAGTCAGTTACAGACAGCGTAGGACTTAAAATAAATGCATATCAGTCTACGATGGAATACTTCATAGTGGAAATAGTGTTGTGAAATTAGTAAGGAGTAAAGCAATGGAAGAAAAGCATTAGTTGGGATGAGAAGCTAAACGTGGAGGACATTTTAAAGTAGAAAGAAACCAAAGAATTAAAACAGAGGAATGATACTGTAGTCGGGGTCTAGAGGATGGTTGAGGATGAATATCACCACGCCACTGTGGTTGATTCTTGGTCATGTTACATGTTAGTGAAGTAATATGTGTCGTTGTCATTATGGTTACTGTAAGTCATGGAATTTAATTCAGATACACATGTCCGATTAGTAGGTAAAAAACATTACAACAAATAAAGCACAGTGAACACCATTTTACTACTGTGATAATCTAAATTGTCATGAATGTTCTTGAATTATTGATTGCATATCCTCTAACTACAAACTAATTGATTGAGATTAGCCGTAGGATACTAGACAAAGATGGGAGGTCAGTTGGTAGAACTCTTCAGAGGTAAGTAGAACAAGTGTTGCGCATGTTCAGCTACCATTTACTCTGACAAGAAATGTTTGGCATAATGGGCAGGGATGAAAGCAAGATTTGGTATCAGTTGATTAAATTATTGATTGTTGGTGTGAACCACCTGACTAAGAAACGTTTCTTTTTTTACGAGTCGGTAACAAGGTACAGGTTCAGAACTCAGTTTGGGGTCAAATATTTTGTGTGATGGCTAGTAACGTTACGTGTACATCCCAACCGAAGTAGAACTTGATTTCACGACTCATTGGTTAACAAAGTGTGTCTGAAACGCAATCTTGCAGTTGGAAACCTAGAGGCTGAACAGTTTTTGTATTATTTATAGCTTTAATATTAGGTAGCATATACTTAAAACTCTGATGAAATATGGGTCCGCTGAGATTACAGGTATGCTCTGTTGATGAATGTTGGAGAGAGCGAAACCTAAGCCCAAACATTTCAAATATTATTTTCAATAACCTGACATGGGAGAAAAACTACAAACAGTATTAGAACTCACTCCAGAACATAATCTTTACGTAGAAGTGGATAATCTTCTTCATTTGCTTCATTAATATCAATATTATTATTAAGCACAGGATTAGTTCTAGACTTTAACATGTCGATAAATTGGTGTTCTGTTTCATATTCCAGCAAATTCGGAAGTTGTCTTTCAGAATCTACCGAATATTCTTCTTCTTCTTCAACTATAGTTGGAACAGTTAAATTGCTTTGAAATACTGTTCCTAAACGTGTTGTTGTTCGAGAATAGGAGAGACCGCCAACAGGACGACTTGTTATAACAAGGGATTTTGCTGAGTTGATATTACATGTGTGTGAGTATTCTACAAAAAGGAAAAGGATTTTCACAAGAATTAGGATGACTTAAAAAACCCTTATCGATAAGTGAATTATGCTTGTCAGGAAGTAATTAGATAGTAAGGAGCATAAGTTAAAATAGGAAACAACGTATACAGTGGGAGTAATATGCAAACTTACTTTACACTAAGCTAATTATGATTAATTACGACACGGAATAGCCATAATTAGTGAATTTAATTATCATAAAAGTTGAGATTATGGGTTATAAGGAGACTGGTTATAACGACGGCACAACAAAAACCATCTAGCTTTTTGGTTTATTAAGAGAAAAGGAAAATTGTTCAGATTGTATCACACTGTCTATTCCGATTTTCTTATCGAAATAATGTAGAATTACCCATTTTTCTTTGTTCGATATCGTCTTCATACTTGTCTGTTTAATAATAAACTATTTTTATTGAGTTTTCCCTCTGTACAACTGAAAAGTTTGCTAAACTGAGGCAGTGTACATGTTATGGATCAGCATTTAGACTACACAAAGAAAACGTAATTCACAAATTTGTATTATACTGTGCTGCCTGTTAAAAATTCTAACTTGTCATGAAGTTTTGGTTTTATGATTAAGTATAAAATCAATACTAAATAAATAGTGATCCGCTTGACAATATCAATATTTTCTCCAAAGATAGTAGTCCGTAACTTGACGGATACGAAATTAAAACTAAAATACAAAATTACAAAATATGCGAATTACTGCAACACTAGTTACGTAAGAATAAAGTGAAAGGAATTGAGTAAGCTTGAAATTAAGCAATTGAATATGAATGTTTAGTGTTATTTGTAAGCATAAAAAATAAGTAGCTAGTAAAACGGATGGCATAAAAACTACACAGCCAGATTATGAGAACGGATTAAGTAAGAATAGGATTAGAAATTAAAATTAGACAAAATTGAAAAAAATTTTGAGAAAAGTAAGAATAATTAAGTAGAAGTAGGTATCGTTACCAAGGTATGATTTGGGATATTAAAAATATATTATTTATTTATAATTAAGTAGAAGGTCAGAGTAAATTGTGTGGTTGCACAAACGTTTCTTGTTTACAAAGATTAGATTTATTTGTGTATTTCTATAGCTTCTTCTGTGCGTAAAAACACGATTTAAGGAATCACGGGGCGAGCGCAATGGAATTCTATAAATAACTTTGAAAACCAGTTTTGTTTCGATTTGGTGTCTAGTATGCCCGATATATACGACCAATAAATCATCATAGTAAAAATGAAAGAAAAGCTAAATTAGAGTGTTCACCTAGGGAATGAAAAAACACTGCAGTCATGGCATATCCTAAAGAAACTTCAGAAAGGATAAGAAAGATTCTAAATATGCATGATAAAAAATTTATATCCAAGGTAGTGATGCTATAGATATTACTGAAAGTGAAGTATAGGATATCAAAAGAGTGAAAACAAGACTGTCTATGAAGTAAGTCACCATATGAGTAGGGTGGTGGGAGCTAAATGCCATGGCAAAGAAAAACTTTGAAATATGTTCCTAAATTCTCAGAAGAACTTAAGAAGCTCGAAAATAGATTAGCAATAGCACTATACTGATTAGAAATGGGATATAAGACTAACTTTGAAGGAAAGTTTTTGGAGCTCATGAGGGAAGATTAGCAGCTGAGGTTTTATGCCAACAGGAGACAGAATACGGTCGGCTACTGCATAGTCATTGTTGGTTAACAGATAAACACATGGCATTTCATATCTAATCAGCTGTCGATACCGCTCGCAGCTTGACCCCAACAAAGATGAACGCTCATTGAATCATAATGTTTGGGGTTCTGTGGATGCCTTTTATTTAACGTCTCCATTAACTATACGACTATTTGAAATCTACACAAACTTCGACTGGGTTATCTTACTGATATGTACTACTTACTTTGTAAGAAGAAAGCGGTTAACTAATACTTCGTCGTAGTCACATTGTAAACGATTTTCACATCGAATATTTCATAACCTTACTATAGTATACAATACAAACATCTGAACCACGTTTTATTTAACTTGTTAAAAAAATGATTGTTTTGTAGTGAGATTCTTATTCACAGGTACAACAAAAAGTTACTTGCGTCAAGGGGGAACTTGACATTTGAAACTATTTTCAAGAGAATTGTGAGAATCTAGGTGATAAATCTGCTTGTGAATTGAACTATCTCATTTGACCACTTGGTCTTACCAATTAAGAATAAGGCATGAGTAATGTTGCATATCTACGGTTGTATAACTCCAGGCTTTTAAGTACATACATATAATCCTGAATCAAAATTAATACACTTATAACCATACAATTTTTAAATACTTACGAGACTGTACATGGTCCGGTCTCGACTGATGTAATGAATTACTAACCATATTATTTTCTGCTATATGAGTATTCGATAAATGTTGCATATTTTGTTGTCGAATAGAATCGTCATACTGTGTGACCAAATTAGGCTTAAAAAGTAAAATGAAACATAAACCATTAACCGATAAAGATTATAGATGTTTGAGAATTGTCTTTTGGCGTAAAACAACTGAAAAAAAAACAGATAACGATACCTTAATCTACCTTTTATGATTGCTGTCATTCGATCACTTTTATGTATGAATCAAGGAGCAATGTGATCCCAAATGACTAAGTTTCTGTCAAAATAAAACGAAAGAACTTAAGGAATCATATCAATTCAGGAAAATGAACGAAAACTGGAACAGTAGACGATCGAAACAGCGGTTTTTGATTCAAGTGATTATATGAATAAAGCAAAACTGAAATTCCCATGTCCAATCTTGTTATTAATGATGATACAAATGTTCTTCAGTCCTAAATTAAAACTGAACAATCCTTGAGTGCATCCAGCTAATCGACAATACTTTGAAGTTTGAACTAATGTGAGAACAACTTTTAGTTAGCGATCATATATATACAGAAAAATAAATAAAAATGTAATGTTGTCGACATTTTCCTAATAAACGTTCTATGTTGATACGATCGATTGTCTTAATTATGAGGGTATTTAAATTGCAAACTCCTTGTTAATAAAGGGTACAAAAGAATAGAATATATCATAATTGATCAAACTAGTATGTTGATAAATGCCTTGTATTAATAAAAATGCTACTCAAATAAGATTAGTGCAATCGCACATGAACTTGTAAAATTGAGTAACTGGAATGATAGAATGTTTTGTTTGACAAATCTCAGGTGGGTGGCTTATAGAAGTCAGTTACCTAACCTCAATTACTCAGATTTATAATTTGGTTTGCTTAGTTCATTCATTTCACACTACCATTTTCAGTTTGTGTTGTCTTATAGTATAATTCTGATAGTATTTGTGAAATGTTTAGATCTCTCTACTTATTTGAATAAAAGAGGTGAAATTCATAAAATACACTCTCCTATTTAAAAAAAGTTAGGATCATTAGAAAGAAGATAGAAAACTCACCTGAGAATAACTGAGGGGATTTCGGAGTTCTGACTGACTGACTAATGAATTAGATACTATGTCTGAAGTTGTGCAAAATCGGTCGGAACCATTCGAACTTGGAAATGAATTATGACTTTGAACTGCACGTATCAGTCGTTCAGTATTTATACCTATATGATATTCGTCTTCTGGAGAATGTACTCTACATGGGAGATTAGTAGGAATATTAACATGTGGAAAATCGGAAGCAGAAAAAGGTGGAGGTGGGAGAGGCCAAATATCTGCATTTGATAAAACAGGGTGATTACTTGGTCTATCACAAGTTCCGCTTGGTGTAAGAGTCACCGAGGGGTATCTTACAGTCGAAAAGTTATCGTTAGTATTTTCATGGTGACTATTACTTCCTGTGACATCTAAACAACAGTGGTTTCCTCCAGGTAAAGAATTAGGTATTATATCTGAATTATTGTTTATGGTATCTGAGTGAAGGATAGTATCACCATTGGGTAATGACACAAGTTCATTCTGCTGTTCACCTACTTGGCAATCGTATGAATAGCCTCCATCAGGATCAAATGCATCTTCATCTTCATCATCAGAATCCCAACCAGACTCAATAAGATCACGACGGCGAGATAAGACATTTGAGAGCTTAAAATTAAAGAGATTTAAATATATGAAACAGATATTACAAAAAGCATATGATTTGATAACTAATTTAAGCGTTGGGTTTGAGTTAACAAAAAATAAGGGATATTGTCTGAGATAATTATGATGTGTGGCTAAACTTACTAATTCACTAATAAACTCGGTGTGATATTTATTAAAAACACGACATGGGAAAATCCAGCTAAGCCGTGACAAACAAATATATGAAGTTAGTAGACACCAGTTTAAGTTTTATGACAAATTACGGGTTTTCTGACCAGAATTTATGAGATATTGGAAACTTGTAATTAGAAGTAGAACCTGGAACACATGTGCATCCGTCCAAGTCCCCACACCACGTCAGCACGGTGCTTTTAGAGATAGTCATTTCATCATCTGGTTATCCCGGGTTCGATCAACCAGATCTACTTGTTAACTAAGGATACGCAAATGATATAGTTCTTTTTTATGAAGACAATGATAAAATGCAGTATTCTGACCACCTTAAGCAACAATGCAAGCATGTTCAGGATACGGTTCTCTCCCTCCAAATCCAAAATGATGCTTAGGGATTAGCTTGTGTCACCACCTAAATTAATGATAGGCGGTAAAGTAGTTGGACGCATCGACCACTTCACTTACCTCGGCAGTCTCATCAATCCTGATGATCTGGTGTCTGATGAGATTTCGGTAAGGGTTCAGAAGGATCGATTGGCTTTTGCCATCTTGCGTCACTTGTGGCGTAGGCGGGATATCTGTTTGTCAACAAAATGAGGAGTTTACCGAGCAACAGTTCTCTGTTCTACTTTAAAGGTGTGAAACATGGCTATTAAGAATAGAGGATATTCGCAGGTTACTTGCATGCGATCACGGGTATCTTCAAGGCATTGCTCGTATATTGTGAGACCAATGAGTTAACAATTGTGAGGTTAGATACAGAGTATTAGGTACGTGTGGCAAATGAACTGACGCGGTAACGAATCTTTATCGACTGAGATGGTTGGGACATATACTACGTGTGCTTATCTGTAGATTACCTCGATAGGCGATGATGACTGATATGGGAGTAGGTTGGAGGAAAGCTATGAGTGTTCAAACTAAGACATGGCACCAGTCCATGAAGACACTGACTGTTGAACTGGACCATGTAGGTAGGTACAGGCCACCTAATTTGGATTCATGTCATCAACATAACCAATGGTTGAATGCCTTGAGTGACATGACAGAGAATCATTTACAATGGCATAGATATACTCACTCTTTGTCTTCCCTTAGATCCTAAGTTTGTTAATTGGTTGTTAAACTTTTTTTTATCTTCGATGTTTGATCTTTGTTATTACTATTAATATTGTTATTACCTCTGCTACTCTGGGATTTGGTCTAGCAATTTCATCTTTCGGTGCTAATAGGGTGAGTCAACTTGAATCCACGTACAAACGTAGGAGGTTCGATGTTTTGACTGACTGATCGACTGAATTAGTACAATGAAGTGAATTTTCAAAACAAATTTCATAGCACGATTAGTAAAAGTATCAGTAGCAGCGATACGACTTATGAATAGAAAATGAGTTTGTGAACACTATAGACAAATAAAGTTAGCACAGATAGATCTATTTCATATTTATAACGATTAAATGGTAAAATGCCAGATTTAATTGAGAATCAACAACTTAAACTGTCCAAGATACTAGAGCGTTCAGTAAACGAACAACAAACAGTACACTAATATTTTTTTCCGAGAACAATTGAAGTTTGAGGTGAAATACGGTACATAACGTGTCTTCATGAATGTTTAACTGTTTAAAATTTGCCTATGATTCGTTTCGTCATATACGTATATCCTACCTTTCTAAAGATCTTTCCTATAAGTTTTGATAGTTCTTTACATCTCTTGTTGAGATATTTTGAAGTGTGGATTCTTCAATGAATTCAACAGTGTGAAATTCCACTAAACCATTAAACGTATTCATAAAAATAAATCTGAACGACTCATTATATAAATGTATATATATAAAGAACTAACCATTTCAAAGACGTTCGGTGAAAGTGTTCTTTGACAATGCTTTGAAATTGCTGTATCATTTATGGTGATACTATTCGAACAGGATTTATTGCACGAAACCGGAGAACTTTTCAGTCGTTCACAAGTACTTGATACTGTATTGAAGCAAGTAGGTGGTGACTGAGAAGCCGAAGAGGTTGTAAAACATTTCTCTTTATTGCCAGAAGAGGATACTTCTGAAACACAATTCACTTTAATGTTGGGATCTGTTGCAAGGAAAAAAATAATTACAAACGAAGGCCTGGTAACTCACAAATGAGGAATAGCGTGACTCAATAGAGTCGGACAGCTGAGACAATGTAGGATATTGCACAAATGTGAACACGGTCGTCGTGAGGACACAGACGAGGCAGTCTGTATCAGTCAGTCATATACAGCGTATGACTAAGAACATATATTCACCAGTTCAAGTTGCCATACCCCACTAGCGCAGAGATAAGAAATTATCAAAACAAATCCCAGATTAGCAGAGATGGTATCAACATAAATATCAGTAGAAAAGATTAGGCGTAGACAATAGGAATTGAGAGAAAAGGGCGAGATCTTGGGATAAAAAGTACAAGTTGATCGTGAGACTTAGGACCTAAGCGGAGACAAAGAGTGTACAACACGGTTCAGCCAAAAAGTCAGCGACTTTATGGACTAAATCCATGTCATCGTTCGGCTGCTTTTAGCTTTTTCCAAAGTCACTCTTACTCCATTTACAACGAAAGATAATTAATCTCCATATATACAAACGACGGCTGAGGTACAAATTAGAGTTACAGGTTTATAATTAATTAGTCGTGATTTATGACATGGCTCAAAACAGGGAGCGATGAAAGTAGATGCATTCCTAGTTTGTCTTCCATTATAACTTTATAAATAAGAGCACCTAGTTAGAGTATATCCAAGTGTTTCAAAATTTGGGGTAAAGCGGTATTTTAACAACCAATCGATCGGTCTACCTACTATCTTGAGTAGGGTGGTGGTTTAGTGCTTAAAATACTTGACTTTCATACGTTGGGCTACAAGTTTGAATGCCCACCCACCCACCCACTTCAGTTTATATTGCTAGATATTATACCGATACAAGCTTGAAGCCGAGTACGTAAACCAGGTCTTTGTCACACAGTTGCATTTGATCCATGGACTGGATTTTAGTCTCTTAAATGTAAAACGTAAACCGGTTGTTTTATGAATGATCTAACAGTGTAATTATCAGTACAATATACTATCAACGATGATCAGAGACATGCAGCCTACATTTTACTTTTAGACCTTAGCAGTAGCTGTGGCTAAAATGCTTGGATTTCAAGTGTTAGATCACAGGTCTTGATTCCACAATACTTGACTCGGTTTGTGCAGCTCCGTAGTATACCTGTTCCCCAAGGAGTGTAGTTCGATGTTGAATATAGACATGTACTTAGTACATAAGTTACAGTCTTTAGTTAGCATATCAGACAGTTATAAATTCCACACGTAAAGTCTACTATTATTTTTATGTGAAAACAAAAGGATATAAACGACCAAAACATCTATCAAAAACTCACGCAGCGCTGCATTAGAATCATGGGAAGACTCATTCAGAAGCCATTCGTGGATATCACCGAGGAACTGAGATGTATGCGCTCCATTTGGTTGATGCAATCCACAGCTATCATTACTTAGGTTTAAACTTAAGTTACTACTGCTTGTACTTCCATCTCCGATACGCAGAAGCCTGTCTGCGATATGACCATTGATGTCAGTTTGTCTTAATCCAATGCCACAAGGAGGTGCGAGATTCAATCCACTATCTCTGAATTCACTAGCCCCGCTAGACTGGATGGGACTATGAAATGAAGGCTCGATAGCACTATCAGAACATAAATCGACAACTAAGGGTGTGGAAAGTGACTGAAATATAGAATCAAGGGCAGTTGAGGGTCGATTTGGACAAGAATCCTTGATATTGTTTGATAAGGTGGCGACCGAAAAGTGAGCAGTAACCTACCAAAAGATGAAAAGCCAACAACTTTGAAAATTACTACATGTCGTGCAATGTTATTTGAATTTAAAATCGATACAATATGAATACAAGATTGATTATATGAGGCTATGAAAACATAAAAGGTGGAAAGGATGACGGAATAGGTAGAAGAGAAAACAAACCATATTATGTTACTTAAGATTGCTTACAGCTCTTTTATCGACTGAGTACCGAATAAAATTGTAAAACATTTACCACTGAGTTTAGATTTCGAGCATATATTGTATTCCCCTAAGCTATACGTCAAACAATTTCTTATACTCTATACGAATAGTTGGTACGAACTACCAAACTCAAACTTAACAAAGAATGACAATAACTTTCGTTTATTCAAACGGCTTCTGCAAAGCTAATCAACGGGATAAACTTTCAGGCGGCGAAAAAAGTATAACAAGAACTATTCCACTCGAAACAACTAGATAATAAATTATATATAAATATATCACAAACGGATAAAACGTGTTTTAAAATATTTTTACGCATTTTCACAGAACTCAGAGGGACTTATGATGGCAACTAAATAATAAAAGCCACAAAAAATTTTATGACGAGGATGAAAGTGGGAAACGTACCATTTCACGATCGTCTACCACATCGCAGACCAAATCATCCCAATCAAGCATACCACCATCTCTAGCAACATTGATGCTGTGGACGACAATGCGATCCTGTGGTCCGAGCTAAAAGATCATTGATAAATGGTGATAAGTCATCATAATAGATAGATTGTGTATCTCGAAACATTTAAGTATTAATGAATCATTGTAATGATAAAACGTTCATGTAGGAAACCAGAAAACAAACCTTCGGTAAAGTATGCCTAACCCTCCTTAAACCACTAAGAGTCAAGTCTCTAACCGTTAAGTTCCCTGAACCACAAGGAACCACGACCTTTGTGTCTCCAAAGCAGATCGTCAGCTTCATGTTCCATTTCTGGCAGTGATGACCTTCAAGAGACAGCTGTGGAAATTACTCCCAGTGACCTTCGTCCGATTTACCCATGTTAAACAATCAGATTTGTTTCACAGAATATCTATTACATACTAATGCTTCGAGAGTGTAATGTTTATGGTATATCTTCTACAGGCACTGCCGTCTCTTGGTAGGCACGGTGTCAATATATTGTAGTGACCTACTTTTATCAAGAGAACGCGATTGGTTTAATGGAATGTGGTGTTTGAACGAACTAATAGTACCTTTGTACTTGTTGAATGCTCGATTTCGAATTCCAAATACAATACATTAGTTTGTGCTTGTGTTTCACTTCTTAGTTCAATTGCGTTATTTCTGGTACTCTTAGTTCGTGCTATAATTCAAATAATTCAAAACATTATACTGGCGTCCCGATGAAGCCTGTAATGGAAAAGTTAGATATTCATTCAACTTCGGAAGCTTTTGAAGATTACTTTGAAAGGTTCGAAATCTGGGCTATGACCAAGGAAGATGATGAGGATGTTAATATTGTGGCACACTTCCTCACATTCATTGGAAAAGAAGCATACGGTTTATTAAGAACTCTGGCTATGCCGGAAAAGCCCATTTCGCTTCCTTATACAGCTCTCAAGGAACTGCTACTAGACTATGTTCAGTATACAGATTTCGAATGTCGTAAAGGAGGAAGATTTCGTAAAACGATTCGTGAGGATATAAAAAATTCCACTACATTACGTCATCCCAACCCAGTTCATACTCAAAATTATGTAGATAATTCATTGAGGAGTTGCAATGCATTTCACGAAGATGGGCACAAGTTTGGTCAGTGTTTGTCCTGTGGCAAGTTCCACTCTTTTAATTCATGTAAATTTCGTAATTCTAAGTGCTTTAAATGTGATGATGTTGGACATAGTCAGTCAGTCTGTAATACTAATGTTCATCTTATTGCAAGTAATATTAAGACTTGTAATTCTGATTCTACTGAGTTGAGTATTTATAATGATGGTTTATCTTTATCAACGATTGCAATAGACAATGTAGAGTCACAAAGTAGTTCAGAGTTAAATGAAATTCAAAATTCTTGCGAAACAACAGCTTCTAACCAATCGATCTATCAGATTTCTCATGTTATCGTACCAAATTTGGCTCTTCCTAATGATTCATATATTTCTGATGAAATTTCTTACAAGTCTGAAGAAAATACGTTGAGTGAACATAATTATAATAGAAAACCTGATGTATTTTTGATAGATGCTGATTTTTCTAATGATCCTTTAATCTGCAATGACATTCTTAATGAATTCAAGGAAACTATTCCAGAAGAGTCAAGTCTTGATGTCATACCAAATATTATTTGTCCCCATAATTCATTTGTTTCTTATGGGAAGCTTGTTTAGTGCGAAGCACGAGTATTAAATGAGCTCCATTCTGATTACAATTCAGATTATTTCACATCAATTGCTGTTAATCCTTATCACAAATTCACTTCCAATGTATACTCCAGTCAATGTAAGAAATATGTTTTAAACGAAGCCACATTATTCATAACTTGGGGATATAAAGATCCAACATTATTTCGTGGAGGAGGATAGTGTTCAAATTCTAGATATTGATGATTTCAGTACAAAACCGATATGCTGATTGTATACTGTAGCGGTAAATAAATCCCCAAAATAAATAGCACTAAGTTTTCGACATTGGATGCTGACCATATGTTTTAGTGGACTCACCTAGCTGAAGGCGTTCGGTCAGGCATCCGCACCAGATCACGTGTGGTAACGCCGTGCTCAACATCAACCGCAATCGCTAGCCAGATTAGATCAGAGAATTCCGATATATTGGTCATCGCCAAATATACTCTTCCGATCTCCTCGACTCTGTCTTTTGATTTCTCTGGGCGGGAACGAAATATATTAGAAGGTGTTACTGGTATAAGCGTTGTCAAATACTGAATACCTGTGACATCATCATTGGTGAGCCCGACGTGATCTGGTACACCTAATTGCAACTGTGAGTCTGTTCCTTTTTGGGATTTTTATATATCATTGCCTTATTTTTTTATTTTTTTTAAACATTGTGATTTTTTTTCGTGTTTTTTCCTGGATATATATATTTTCCCCTCGTTCATTATCGTACTTCATACTTCATCATGACTGAACAGACACCTAAAGTACTCAAGCTTAAGACTTTGTCCCCGCCTTCGTTTCAACTGATGCCTTTCTGGCCCGACAACATCGAAGCCTGGTTCTGCTACGCAGAAGCCGACTTCTCCGAGCACGGCGTGATCGACACACGTGCACAATTCCTCGCAGTAGTCAAGGCACTACCGCGCGAATTCAACAGGTACGTAACACCTAGTATGTTTACTAGTGATGTTTCCGATCCTTATGAAATCTTAAAACGCTCGATTCTTAAACGAGGAGACCTAACCGATCGACAAAGGTTAGATCAACTCTTCAATAACATCGACCTGCAACACGGTTCTGCGACGGACATGTTGCAACGGATGAGAGAGGTAATAGGCCCAAGAACTTTCGACGAAGGTCTATTCAAACAACTCTTCTTATCAAAACTTCCCCAACAGGTGCAAGCAGTTCTGGTCTCGTTCCAGAACAACGCCTTAGACGAGCTAGCTGCATCTGCCGACCGCATTTTAGAAATTACGAAACCTTTTACTATCGAGGTATTTTCAGTCACAGAAAAACCTCAAACGACTCAGAATGATATAACCGATTTATGTCATACACTCACGCGTTATCTTAGTCTTCGTACCGACCGTAAGAGATCGCGCACTCCACGTAGAAGCATTTCACGTAAGCGATCTGTCTCTAGACCACGAGAGACAGATAACCCCGACTGGTGCTGGTATCATAACCAGTATGGAAAGTTTTCCAGAAATTGCAGAAAACCCTGCAATTTTCCCAACACGAAACCGGCTACTTCGAAAAACAATTCGGGAAACTTCCAAGCCGGCACGCGTTAACGGCAACCGTAGCCGGCGAACAAAGCCGTCTGTTATTCGTCACAGATGTGACAACGAGAGTTCGCTACCTCGTCGACACTGGCGCAGAAGTTAGCGTTCTCCCAGCAAATCCTAACGACCGACTACACGAATCGACCCTAAACTTACAGGCGGCAAACGGAAAACCGATCGCTACGTATGGCAAAAGGTACGTTTACCTTAACGTGGGTTTACGCAAACCCATCCACTGGATTTTTGTTGTTGCAGATGTTTCTATGCCAATCATTGGTATGGATCTTCTACAACACCATAATCTGATCATCGACACGCGCAAACGGAGGCTAGTAGACGGAAACACTAATTTGTCCGTTTGCGTAACTTCTTTTACTGGTTGCAAATTATCCCCAGTCACAGTTAAACATATGATAGACCCACTCTATCAACCACTACTCGATAAGTACCCTGGGATACAACAAACTCAGTCGAAACTACAGTGTGTAACCAGCAATGTTACACATCACATCACGACTACAGGACAACCTGTATTCTCTAAAGCACGACGACTAGCTCCCGAAAAGCTAAGGTTAGCGAAAAACGAATTCGATCACATGATGGACTTAGGAATCATACGACCGTCAAGTAGCCCATATGTATCTCCGTTGCACATGGTCCCTAAAAAGGACAGCAACGATTGGCGTCCAACTGGTGACTATCGGCGATTGAACGCGAAAACCATTCCCGATCGTTACCCGTTGCCGCACATTCACGATTTGACAGCTACCTTGAAATGTACAACTGTCTTTTCGAAAATCGACTTAGTTAAAGCGTATAACCAAATCTTTATGGCTACTGACGACATACCGAAAACAGCTATCATAACTCCCTTCGGACTCTATGAATTTTCGCGAATGCCTTTCGGTCTAAGGAATGCTGCTCAAACATTCCAAAGATTCATAGACGACGTTTTTCGAGGTCTCAACTTCGTACACGCGTATGTTGACGACTGTCTAATCGCAAGTCCGGACAGAGAAACACATCTCAAGCATCTGGACCTTGTTTTCGAACAATTACAAAAACATGGCATTACCGTAAACGTTCAGAAATGCCAATTTGGAACCGACTCGTTAGACTTTCTAGGACACACTATCGATGCTCAAGGTATCCGACCCCTTAGAACCAAAGTGGCGGCCATTCTGGATTACCCAGAACCGATCACCGTCATGCAATTACGCACGTTTAACGGCCTGGTAAGTTTCTATAGACGTTTCATACCCAAAAGCGCATTACTCATGAAACCGCTGACCGACCAACTTCGTGGAAATGCGAAATCCATTAATTTGGACAACACCGCACGAAAAGCATTCTCCACAGTTAAGGAACTGATTGCCAAAGCAACAACTCTCGCACATCAGGACACCCGAGCACCCATTAGGATCGCAGTAGACGCATCCGACTCAGCAATCGGAGGAGTCTTACAACAATGGGTTAACAACTCCTGGCAACCCTTGGCATTTTTCTCCAGAAGGTTGCTAGACACCGAATCGAGGTACAGCACATTCGGTAGGGAACTCCTAGCTATGTATTGTGCTGTACGGCATTTCCAACACTATATCGAAGGTCGTGAATTCACTCTTTTCACGGACCATAAACCGCTCACTTTCTCGTTAAGCTCTCCTTCTGATAAGTACTCACCCCGTGAGTCTCGACAACTGGACTACATTTCGCAGTTTACTTCAGACATTCAACACATCTCTGGAGCAAACAATGTAGTTGCAGACGCCTTATCTAGCATAACTTCCTTGAACAGTTTCCAAGGAATCGACCTTCTTAAACTCGCCCAGCTTCAAAAAGAAGACAGTGATCTTCAGCACGAGTTATCGTCCACAACACTTAAACTACGCATCAAACAGATGGGAACAGGTAAGGAAACCTTACTTTGTGACACATCTACAGGTAGGGATCGCCCAATCGTGCCGAAACATTATCGACGCAATGTCTTCAACACATTGCACAAACTTTCGCATCCAGGTGTTCGTGCAACCATCAAGCTTATAGCAGAACGATTTTGCTGGCCTG